GTGACATTCTATGCTAATTTAAAAGAACTGTCTTATCTCCACGATAACATTTGTGGTAAGCAATAGACAGCAGGAGTGAGATGCCTGGGACTACAGCCTCTATCTTGTTAATTGGGGTTGGAACCAGGTGTTCATAGCTGTTGTTTTGTCCTGTCCTTTGAGGTGTTTCTTTGTTCTCTGGGCCATGCCCTGGCCATGCCACCATGCCAAAGCCTTGCATATGTGTTCAATTTCCAGCTTCAGTGGTTCCCGACAGGGAGAGGTTTATAAGAGCAAAGAAATAATTCTAGAGATGACCAGATATACCTGCCGTGCCCTAATGCAGCCCCTCTACCTTCACTGATTGTCTTGCCACCCTCCCAGAGCACTGGTTCCTCTTCTCTGGCAGCAGACTGTGGACCTACTGTGGGTCCTGCTAGGCTCCTGCACACAGCCAGTACACAGCTTCCTGTACAAGACAGTCTTCCTCTACTCCTTAGGGCACCTGTTCCCTCAGAAACCATGCAAGTTTCATCTCCATCAATGAAAGATACAGATGTGAAGCATTATCTAAGATTTTATCACAAACCTCCATGAGTCTACCAGGTTTGATTCCAGAGCTCCAGTGGAGACAAAAATATATTGAGAAACCTCTTTGTGGATGCTATTTACTGAATAATCATTTTTTATATTTTAAATTTTAAAAGTAGAGCACATAACAGATACTAGCCAGTCTTTTAGAAACTGAAGCACAAATAAGTCCTGCCTGTGTAACTTAACAACTTAAGTGAGACCCTGTCTCAAATACAAAAAAAAAAAAAAAGCCTGGGACCAGTTCAGTGTAAAGGTTCAATCCTAGTGCCACAGAAAAGAGAGAGGGAAGGAGGGAGGGAGAGAAGGAGGAGAGAGAGAAGGAGCAAAAACAGAGAGAGAAAGGAAGGCAGGCAGGAAGGGCATGAGTACACAAAGACACAAAAATAAAGATGATGAACCATAGATATGAAACAGGGAAAGATAAAAGAAAAGAAAATTTTTGGCAAGAAAGAGAAACACAGAGACACCCATCCACAGCAAGTAGCCTTCTGTCATTTGAATGCAGTCACGCCTTTTACAGCTCACTATAGGAGAGAAAGAAGAGTGAGAGAAAGACACAAAGGATCAAGGCCTAGACACCTTTTGTACAATTCTGCCAATCACATTTCCTTCTATATATGAACACTTCTGGTCACCATATAACAGCACTCTAGGTTCAGTAATGCAGCAGTACAACTCATTAAATCACACATGTAACATAAAATCTTCAAAACCTCTTCTCATTTAAATAAAAAGTATTTTAGGCTAACTATCATTCACCATGGCTGCAGACAGTACCTCACTCAGTTCATGCTGCCACTAAACACAATTCATCTGTGACTTACACTTCCATATTTCATTTTTGCCACTTGTAGTATCATTCAAAACAATTCCTAATAAACCTGCTTCCATTTTTTTTCTCAGAGGTCTGTAAGACTTATAAATTTGATAGTGGGTTGCTTTAGTGAATCCTACTGGGACCATTTATAGCTTATTCTTTTTAAAAAGACATTTTTAATTCTAGAAAAAATAATATTTTACCCAGGAGTTTATTAGTTGAATAGAAACTATTCATTGATCTAGCAATTGTTGATTTGTGGTTTGACAGGAAGGAATTTCTGGCAAATGGAATACTTCCTCTTGAAAGAAAAGCTCTGTTTATATTCTTAGCTTGATAAGTGCTTGCTAAGAAAGAGGCTAATAACTAACATCTGTTGAATCCTTGGCTTCCCCATATTTGTAATGTCTGGTTTAACAATAGGGACTAATGCTACAGAGCTATGCTGTGGTTTATTTTGCTTCCAACCTTTCCTTACTAATTACTGTTTTGTGAAGTCTCAAAAGAACTCCAAACCAGACGTTATCCCAAGGCCCCTTTGCTTGGCAGCTTGTTTTATGGTTCCGAGATTCAACTAAATCCAGTTACAAAAGTCAGTGAATGCCCTTGGCTCTAAAGTCTGGTCTCTATGGGTTTTCTTTTTCACATTGTTTTCTTAATGTGGACCTTCATATGGCTCCCCCTTTCCCAACATTTCCAAATAAAATTGCTCTTGGAATCATCTTACATCTTTTGCAAGCACATTTACTCATCTGTCAGTTGGGATGGAGATGTGACATTTATCTCTTTATTTTTAATAGAGTAAATGATTCTATATTCTACGCGTTAATTCTCTGAAGTCTTGCTTTGAGACTTCGTTGAGCTTTATTTCATGTCAAAACAGCATGTGGTGCCCCTGCCACAGCATGCAAAAAGAATCTAAGAAAACCTGTGCCCTTTAAGAATTCTATTTTAAGAAAGGAGAAAAAGGGCCCAGAAAACTTGTATTGTTATACATAACAGTAGCACACATTCTCCAAAATGGAGCTCTTAATATATCATCAAGACAGTTTGGGAACATCCCCAAAAAGAATTACCAAACAGCTCTTTGTACATAAGTAAAGCTAGAAGCCTTGACACCTGCTACCCAAGCTGTCCCATCCACCCCACCATCCTGTGAACATCTCGCCCACCACCATCTCCTCCCCTGTTTCCAAATACTTAGATCTTATCAGATCCCAAATGTGAACTCCAAAAGAAACTTACATCAAGCTTTATCAGAACCCATATGTGCATTACTGAGCTGAACAGTAAGTCTTTGGAATCCATATAAACTTGAGAGCCTTATGGGCATGTAGAAAATTTAGACTTCAGCAAACGTACACGCTGTTGGCTGCCTCACTGAAGACCAGGAACATGTGCAGTGACAGAAACATGTGCAGTGAGAGGCTGTACTTCTCTGAAATTGAGAGCTCAGGGTGCACAGCCTATTAGCCGTAAGGCTTTGAAGCTTCATCCACCAACACTAGCACTGCTAGAGGGGCCTCTCGTGTTGCTGGGAAACTGCACTGTGTGGGGCAAGGTTCCTTCTGAGAATGGCTCTCACAAAGCTACACCTCACGCTGCAGCTAATTCTTATTCCCACAGGCATGGCTTCCATCCTAACCGAAGAATGGGGTTTCGATGACCTTGGAACTCACTATATGGTTCCAGGTACATTCTTCAGGAGTTTTGTTCACAGATAAGGTGTGTAAGGCCAGAACTTTAGGTTTCTCACTTGAACCTGACAAAATTGATTCTTCTACTTTGTCTTAGTTACTTGTCTCTCATTGCTGAGACAAAATACCTGACGTCCAAAATTAAGGAAGGAAAGGTTTATTTAACTCACAATTTGTGGAGGTTTCTGCCCCTAATCTGTGTTGGACCTTCTTTGAAGCTATGGGCTAGAAGATGTGATGTAGAAAGAGGCTAGCTTCATATTTTCCATGTTCATGTTTCCCCTCGCTTATTAATAAGGCTTCACTCCTCCAGGGTTGGCCCCGGAGAAGGTTAGTGAGGAAGACAGACTATATCTGGTATGAGAAATATTTTTGCTCTCCTATACCAGAGCCTATAGATAGCAACTATTAAAGGGAACTCATTTTTAAATAGATTTTGCATTGAATCTTGCCTCTGTAGCTCATAGGAATCTGGGATCAGCTTCCAACTTCCTTCCCACCCTGACCCCACTGCCTGCCTGAAATTATTTGTCAAGTTATAAAATTAGACTAATATTTGTCCTACTCTACAATGTGGTTTCAAACATAAAATAAAAACCATGTGAAAGAACTTTGGAGACATCATGAAAATAACCATGACGTATTACTTTGACTCAACCACGAGGTTACGCAAGTGAAGAACTGGGTGATAACTGGATTGGATTGGCCCAATTGGTGGACAACTTATCTCCATTCCACATAGAGGCTTCCTCCTCCATCTCTAATGGCTGTTGAATTATTTCCCAGCAAAGCCCTCTTTACTTTCCTAACTCTTCCAAGAACACTTAAGGTTTTGGGTTTTTTTTTTTTTTTTTTTTTTTTTTTTGAGAGTGAGAGAACCACATTGATCTCCAACTATGAAAGATTATACCAAGAGCTCTCTAAGAGGGTCACTGAAACCCACTTTCTTTAGATTGGAGTTGAACTCTGTGCAGCCTCTCACTACCACCTTTGGGTGATAATAGAGGTCGGCAGTAGGGCTCCAGCCTTTCCTAAAATATTGTCTTCACAATTTCTTTCTTGTCCATGCCTTGCCCACATTTGATATCCTTGGTTTGATTAAAGGGTTCTGTAGTTAAATAACTTGTTATTAAATGTTTCTTTAATCAGTGTTGCACACTATAGTTTGTCCTCCCCTCACTTTGACATCTGAGACTTATCATATGGGCCATCAGTTGAAACTGGGTCCTAAAAAGGCCTATTGCTGTATTCTTTTACAAGGATTATTTGTAGCAGCCACTCTCCAGCAGAGGGAGAGCCACACACACTACACCCCAATAAGAAGCTGGGCTGACCACCAGAGAGAGGCCCGTGTCCCATGTGGACAATGTGGACAAGAGGAAATCAAGCAGAGCCCTTGGATCTTTGTGTGCCGCCTGCTACTTGTGCAGTTTTTAATCACTGAGGAATCTGAGTTCAAGATAGCGTAGTAGGCCCTGGGAGTGATAAATAAACATAATGTGGATCTACCTTCAACAGATTAGTGCAAAAGGCATAATAAAAGGCACAGGGAACATAAATAGATGGAGGGAAGAGCCAGGAAAAAGGAAGTAAATAAGAGAGACAAGAAGAGAAGGATGATGGAGGTGCCAAGGATGACCTGAATTTAAAACTAAGCGAGCTCTGGTTATTTGAAACCCTGGTTCATCAGACCTGTTACGATCAGAAGACACCTGCCTCCCTCCACATCGAGTGAGCACAAAAGGACATCCTCCAGAAAAGCATGAAATTTACTCTCTGCTAAAAAGGAAAAAGAAAAAATTGAGTGTGCATTTTGAAATCCCTGGTTTAAAAGGCACAATGCATACCCTGATCATTATTTTTTTCTGATCAAATATTCCCACTGATTTCTCTTTTACTCCTATCAATTACAGGAGGAAATAAATTAACAAATCAGACTTTCCTTCTAAACTGGGCTTGGATTTCCTTGGAGAGGGAGTACTACATTGTGGATGAAGACTCCAAGTTCTTAGCGGTGCTCCTAACACGCAGAGGACACCTTGAAGGAACATCCTTCATCAGTAAGTAACTTGAGCTTGGTTGTTGACAGCAGGTCACAGCAACACAAAGTGAAACAGACGCAGTTAGTGGTTTCAGAGGTGCCCTACAAACTACATGTGCATGTCGTGATGTGGTTTTCACTGCATGTTAGACTCTGCTGTGGATCACTGTTTTTATCCTCTTCTCCTGTTTCCCTCTCTTTGCCATTTTACATTTTTTCTCTCTCTCATAACTCAAAGGTCTCCAGGAAGATTAAGACAGTCCCTAGCCATCCCGTAATCCACAAGTCATTCTGGATCACCAGCATTACTGATAATAATGCTTATTCTAATAATGCAATACAATAATTTCATAACACTTTTCACTGCCAGAACTTTCAGAAATCTTTTTGTCTTTATTTTCTTAACCCATCAAAGAGACAAATACAAGCATGTTATCTTCATTTTACAAATGGACGTTCCAAGGCCAAAGGATAAGCAGGACTTCAGTCAGTATCCAGCCAACAGGTCAGGACAGTTAAAAAGCAGCCCAGAAGGAAATGGGCTAGAGAAAAATAGGCAACTAAGGAAAGTACTCTTTTCCCATTCTCCTCTCCAAGCCTGAGGCTTCTGGAATAGGACTGTCCCCTTCAGATAAAGAGCAGCTGGAGCCTCAGCCTATACTCCCAGACTACCTCACCCACACATGGTGACACTTGCTGTTGAGAACTTTAGCTGCAAAATGTCTCCTTTCCCTTGGAGGACTGTGTCTGCACCAGTTTGTATCTCAAGGCCTTCCTCTGGGTTGGGTTAGTAACTCAGAAAGTATTTTCAAGCTGTAGTTCAGGAAAAAGCATCTATATTCCCTGAACCATTTGAATGTTTACAGACTAAAGACCTCAGTGACCTTCCCACCTCTGCCACGCTATGCCCACTTGCTCTGCCTGCCTTCATTGTACCACTTGCTGTGCCCTGCCATATGTAATGGATCTGTGTCTGCTATCTGGTTCCCCAACCCCACCAACATGGGGCATATGAGAATCACCCAACATCTGCAGTTACGTGAACTATAGGAAGTCCTGCTCACATAACACTACCCTAAGCCACATCTGATCCCCCTAGATGTCTTTACTTTGGCAGTAAAGACAAATGCAATCTTGATGCTCCAGACTGCCTTCCTAATGTCTCCATCCCATCCCAAGCATAGGATCTTGAAGAAAAGCACATAAAATTATTGAGTTTGGATTCCAGTTCTCTCACTATTTTTTGCAATGCTGCAAAAAAGCTTCCATGATTCTCTGTGGTTTATCTACCTCAACATGTATTGGTACATTATACATGATTCTAATTCTAAATCAGTATATCATGGTCCCTGGTACACAGCTAATGCTTATTAGTGGTAACTACCATTGTTGCGCCATGGCATTGTCAAACAGAACCGAGACTACATGAACTACATGTTCTTCTGTTTTTCTCCCCATATATGGAGAACTTCTTGAGGATAACAGTAACTGACCCTAATCCTGTGTGATATTTTCAGCACATAGCATAGAGCCAACACTTGCCAAATATATTAAGCAAATAGCCACATGCCTGCTTCATTCCTATAGCAGCGATCATTTGCTGTACTTAAACTTCAGCTGAGGACATCACTCACCCTTCCTGAGTTCTTCACTTTCAACCTGTGGCTAGAGGCAGTTTGTCCTAAACGTGAGCACGCATTTTCAGTTACCAAGCCAGTGTGAACACAGACTTTCCTCAGTCGTTTTGCAAAGAAAACACTAGCTACCTTTCCCTAAAAATTATTTTCATGTTTTACAGCTGTGAGTATATTTTATAGGATTTCAGATATTTTGAGAAAGTGACAAAGGAATTGGACAAGAGGCCATCAATCTCACTTATTTAAAGATTTTCACCATAGCTAGTATCAGTCCATAATTTTTGAGTTTACACATTTAAACAACTAAGATCCTAAACCGTATGAGAGTGCAAGTGGAGAGCCATGAGTATTCTTGCTTCAGTGGGTCTTCATTTGGGACTATCAAATAAAACCAACAATGCTTCAATGCTGCTGGAACATTCTGTGGTCAGGAGAGGACTTATCTAGTATTGACAGGTGCTATTGTATAGATCTGGGATGTCCCCAAAGAGTCTGGTGTGTTTAGAGTGGGATTTTTGGAAGAACTTATGATCAGAGATGTGCGGATGAATTTAAAGCCCAAGTGTGAGGTTAGGCGTGAGCCTGGCCAGAAGCGGTGAGCCACTGGGGCGCGGCCCGGAAGGGCGAATCTCTCTCCCTCGTCCTCCCTTTGCTTTTTCTGTTTCATGGCCACCACGAGGTAAGTAAGATGCTCTCCTCCTAGCCAGGCTCTTTTAAGCATAGACCAAAACCTCTAAAATCTATGAGCCAAAATAAACCTTTCCTTCTTTAAATTATCAGTGTTGGATATTGTGTCTCAACAACAAGAAAATATGACAAGAGGGTAGTCATTACATTTTTCACCTTTATATCTAACACTTGCGACTTTATACTTCTCTGGTATTGTTTCTTTGTTGCTGTTTGGTCTCCTAGTACATGACTAATTCTTATTTCCAAACACTGCTCCAATCTACCATTGGCCGTCCATTTCCAGGGACCTAACTCTGGGAAACTACTAAGAATTCTCTCCCAGTCAGACTAAACGCTTGAGGAAAAAAGCCACTGTGAGTGAGTAAGGATCTGCACAAGAACAAAACTTACAAAGTCATTCCTCCAAAGACTGAAGAAATTGGTAGGCAAAAGTAATTGTTGAGGACCTACCATGTGCCAGGGTCTCAGGAATTCATCAAAACAACCAAACAGTCCTGCCTCCATAAGAGCTCACATTCTAGTATCTTCGAGTTAGATTAGGAGCTCTGATAACTGGTGCAGTGTTTTACTCATCTCTGAATCCTGAGCATCTTGCAGAGTTTCTCAGAGGTTCTCAGTGAACACAGCCTAAAATAAATATGCTAATTATATTTTCCTGTCATAACCTTTCTTGCTTTCCTCTCAATTCAGTTTACTTCTGCTTACTTACACTTTTTTAATCAGGAGATCATTTATTAGTGTCTTTTATGGACATTAAAAGGAGTAATGTGTATATTATCTACTTTCACAAACAATAGGAACAACTTTGAAGGAATCTTTCATCAGTCGTTTGGCTTTATATTTACAGTTCCCTGATTTTTATTCAGGCATTGGGACCAAAGATGAAACTGCAAAAAAAGGTAAAGATTTTAAGGCAAAGGCCTTTCAACAAATCAAATTCAACCCTGGACAGACCACAGCCACGTGGAAAGTGAGAATTATACCTGACAATGAGTACGAAGCCTCGGAAACTTTCCAGATCATTCTATCAGAACCTGACATGGCTGCACTGGAATTTCCAGAAATGGCAACAGTTGAAATTGTGGATCCTGGAGATGGTATGTGACATTGATTGATGTGTTCTCTTGGTCTACACAGGCTCAGGGATCTATTTCCAGTATCCACACCTTCCTCAAGCTCTGGAAGCCACCAGATGAGTTCACACCGATTTAAGATTTAGTGTAAAGTAAATTACTTCAAGACAGTAGTTCTCCATTTGATTCTGGCATTTTTGAAAAGGAATATTAAAGGAGATTAAAAAAGAGAGAGAATCCTTACCAGGATTCATTTAACATATACACAAATCTTCCCTGTAAGTTTCCTGTGCACCATATGTGTGGAGTAGCCCTGCAGCCTACAAGGCTAATCCACAGCTTATCCCGGGCCCAACTCCGCAGTCTTCTAGGAGCTCCTGCAGTCCATTCAGCAAGTCAGATGTAGATTTCAGGATCCCTGTCTTGCATGTGGCTGCTTGGTACCTCCCAACCTTTTAGTATATATTCCATAAAATTCTATTATATTTTTATATCACTTTCTTGAATCCATCAATAGATTTGATGAATTAATTCATTCAGGAAATGTCCAGGAAACTCTAAAGAAAGAAATTCTTTGAATGGGAAGTTTAAACTGAAAGAAACAGGAGAGAAAGAGAGAGAGGGAGAGAGAGAGAGAGAGAGAGAGAGAGAGAGAGAGAGAGAGAGAGAGAGAGAACAGAAGGAAGGAAGGAAGGAAGGAAGGAAGGAAGGAAGGAAGAAGAAAGAAAGAAAGAAAAGAAAGAGAATGAGAGAGAAAAAGAGAGAAAGAAGAAGAAAGGGAAAAGAAAGGAAAGGAGAGAGCAGAGAGGAGAGGAGAGGAAAGTACAAAGGAAATACTAATCACAATATTTCCTGCCTTTTGAGGAGAAACAAAATTATTCCTTAAAGGGGACCTTTACAATTCATCTTTAAGTTTTAATGAGACACAGTGATTGAAATAATTCATACAACACATAAAACTACAGAACCTAAAAACTGGAGAGTTGGCTTTGCACTGCACAGGGCTCTACAAAGAATCCCCTGTATTCCAAACACTGGAATAATAGAATGTCTACATTAGAAGCTTTCCATGGTCAAAAACAAGAAAGGGTGGTCTCCTACAATGCTTCCACTCTTTGATTATTTTATCAAAAAGAATAATCTATCTTGGATGTCTGATATTAAGGAGGCAAGAACTGAGGCAGTTAATATGATTTGACTCAGGTAGTCACTACTTCACACCCAGTGATAGTAACAACCTATTTTTAATTTTCAGTTTTTATTATGCTTAATTAAAAGCCTTGACTGAGGGCACAGACCGCTATCCCAAAAATAACAGGATATAGCACAGTAATCATCTTTAATTTCCTTTTAACTTAATCTGGATCCCTGTATAACTTATACTGTTATATCATGATTGATCTTAGTTAAATCTGGTTTGTTTGATTGCTGTTTGTTATCGACAGATTTTATTCAAAACTGTTATAATTGATAGTATCAAGTCTGAGAGTATAGATAACTACACAGAAAATGACAAGATTCACTACAATATCCATTCTGGTTTGATTACTACTGTTTTTGTAGTTTTACACTATCTACAAAGTTGTGTTTCAATAAATACTGTTATGTACTGATATATTCAATTATACTAAATCTGATGATATAGCAAATTCTATTGAAGATAACAATAGACAACATAGTAACCATGGTAGAAATTCTTGTACAGTGGTTTTATATATCTTTTTTGTTTTATGTGGTCTATAGGGATAAGTTTTGTTCTGTCCTGCTTTTTGTTTCTCCCTCTAATATAGAAAGGATAGAAACACATGTTATGACTCATGCATGCATAGAACCTAGAAACAGTTTACAAGAACTGACCTTATGACACATGATGAAATGAACAAATACTTTGAAGGAAAAAAGACACTACAGTACCCAGTGCTGATCTTGGAGTGTCATGATGTGAAATCCAGCAATACTATTTTTCTTTGTCCAGAGTGATTTTAGTCTGCTTTGGTTTGCTCAGTCTCAACATAAATGAAGGTATGGATAACTGCATGTATGGTTAAGTGTCTAGAATTGATAACCATATTACTAAGTTTTTGTTGGATAGTTGAATAGAAATATTTGCTATCTCACTGTTTGAATTCCCACTTATATGTTCCACGTTTGTATCTTGAACAATTATTTGTAAGAGGACAATACACAAACATCAACTAGGGATTTATTACTGTTTTTCTTTTCTTTGAAAATATGTATTGTTTCTACCCATTTTCTGTTTTGTTTAGTCTTTCTTTAAATAAAAAAACAGTAGGAAAAAAATTAAAAGCCTTAGGAAACATTAAAATCACAAAGAAAAATAGTACATTTAAAGTCATTCTCTCAGCATGACTAATATCTACTGACATTTCAGTGATTTAATGATGTGTATGTGTATACACACATGCACATATATATGCATGTACCTGCACACAACTCAGTAAAATTTTTTCAGCATTTTAAGAAGCCAACATGTTAGCTTATACAGTGTCTGCTCAATAAATATTGAATAAATTGTGGAATAAAGTATTTTAATTAATAAATTCTATTGCCTGATCATTAAAAAGATTCATTAAAAGTGAACAGTAAAAAACAGATCTATCAGATCTCTGTTTAGAATATCTTATACTTCATTGGGGGGATTATTATAGCAAGTCTTCTCCTTCCATTTTAAAGCTCACTATCCTTTGTGATCTTTCAAAAGGAGTCTTTTAAGTCCAGCTCCACTGTTTTTCTATGACTATTCAATAATAAGTATTATTTCTTAGGCTCATGTTATTCAATAGTTAATCATGTTTAATAATATAGGGATCAAAACTCATATACATTTCTGCTGAAGTGTGTTAAAATATTACCAACCAAATTTAAATCTTGCTGAAATGTTTTCTATCGTGTCTTTCTTTAGAATCAACAGTTTATATTCCAGAGACAGAGTACAAAATAGAAGAGAATGTTGGAGAGCTTTTGATTCCTGTAAGACGGTCTGGAGACCCAAGCCAGGAACTAACAGTCATCTGCTCAACACAACACGGTATGTGGCTCATGAGTACTTGGAGACAGGGGTAATAAGATGGGTCAGATGAGACCAGGGCGAACCTAGGAACAGTGTGAGTGATGAGCAAAGTCCAGGGTGGGGCCTGGATACATAGGCCAATCGCAGCTTTCCCAGACTCCTCAAACAGAGATATATTTTGACTTAAAACTGGGATAAATGCATTTATTCTGACTACCTTAAAAAGTTCTGTGAGCATCAAATGAGACATTGTGTGTGGAAACGGTTCGTATACACTAGTGGAAGACATAGCAATGGCATTATTTTTGTGGTCTTCAATGGCTCAGGACGAGTGTAAAGCAGTCTGTATAGATCATTCAGTTTTTCTTCTTATCCTTTCCATCTTACAGCAACAGATGATCTCAGTCTTGGGACCAGTCATCCTCATACCTTAAAATGAGGTCTCGTTCTGACTTCTCTATAGAGTCAAAATATAGCTATCCTGTACCACATTCCCTATGGTCATGTTCCCTAATTTTCTAGCAATTATACAGTAAGCAAAAGTTGTGAAAATAAATGAAGACTGTCTAAATGAATACAGAAAAGTTTATTTATTCAGCTCTCACAGAAGCAAAGAAGTTAGTCACCATGGCTTGCACTTGGCAGAGACTCAGTGGCAGGCAGAAGATAGAGAAGACTGTAGAGTAGAAAAATAAAAAGGTGTCAGGAGTACCCTAATTGGAGGCTGTCAGCTTGGGGAGAACAGAGGTAAGCTAGGAAAAAGCAGGGCGTCCTATCTGATTAAGAAGAGCACATTTTTGGCTTTCTGCAACTTGTTCTAGGTATAGATATGGATAAAAATGAGGAAAACTGAGAGTACTAAGTCCTGCTCTTCAGTACTGTTTGAGGCTGGCTTCCTGAGCTGCTTTTTGAAAAATTTAAGTCAATACTCTGTTTTTGTGTGTGGTCAGACCACAATCTCTTCATATATTCCATCTCAAAATCTATGCTCCCACTTATCAATATGTCAGTAATGGAGAATTAATTCTACCAGCTATTCTTTCTCGACCAAACAACTTTGCTTTTAATACAATGTCTCCATGTCATTGTCTAATAAAAGCACAGATCTTGCACATTTTGACCAGGCAGCAAGGGTAGCCAATGCCCTAGAAAATGGAAATTTCAGTGTTGGGGACTTGAGATTCCCATCAAAGCACAGCATGAAATTCATCACCTCCTTCATCCACCTGTGACCATACTTAATGCTTCTGAATTATTGATAGCATACAAAGCATGTAAAAGGCTTCCATTCCAACTGTTGATATAAGAAATGCTCATAATTTTCATGAAAATAAGTGACTGTTAAACACTTCTTTTGTCAAGACTTCTAAAGAGATTTAAGTAATCAAATTGAACTTTTGTCCTCTGAAAACATTTGGACGTTGAGGAAAAAATACTATAATGGCACACAGTATGAGATTTACAATTTTCACTCCCTTCCAGATCCACAAAATGATGTACATGAGAAAAGATGATAGATACCATGCACATGGAGGTTTAGTGTTTCAGGAAGGGATGCTGACCCTTTTTTCCCTTTTTGTTCCACCAAGAGCATGAAAATACACTTTTTCATAGAGAATTCAAAGTCAAGTCTCAGGTGCCCTTTCTTTATTTCTGAATACTTTATGGAAACTGGATCCCAAAGGAATCCTAGGAGAAGCTCTCCCACAGGAAGGAGGCAGCCTACTTTCCACCTGATTCCTAATGGTACATTCCACACTTCCTGGTTCTGAGTGCCTGGATGGATGAGCATGGTGAAATGAATCCCAGGAAGCAAATTCCCTAGGCAGATCTTGTGGAACGTGGGTCCCAGGGGCTCGCTTATAAAATGGAAGCTTTACACTTCTGTATCCTGGAGGTTGCCAAGGGTTGAGTCTTACTGATGATTCCTGAGATGCCTTCAAGCCACCTTCTTGTCCAATTTCAAAGCAGCTAATTTTTTCTTTATTTGTTTTCCAGTATTAGAGACTGAACCCAAGGCCTTCGCCTAGGATATGAGCTACATTTCCAGTCTTTTTTGTTTTTATTAAGACAGATTCTTGCTAAATCAATAAACTGCCAACATTGGACTTGAATTTATGATCCTTCGGCATCAGCCTCACACAATGCTGGGGCTACAGACGTGTGCCACCATGCTTAGATTTTATTTAATGCTGCTGTTCCCTTCAACAACCACACTTCCTTTGGCCCTAACTTCGCATATGTTTCTTTTCTATTCAAAATTTTCAAATATTTCTGGTGTGCCTTTGCTCCAAACTTGCATGTAAATCTAATTAAACATACCCAGCAGTACACACACTACAACATGAATGTTGGGTTACTTGAAATTTCCACTTCCATATCAGTTAGTCTACTGCCCTTCAATCCAACCTCCTGCAAAGTTTTAGGACATGGGAAAAATGTGGACAAACTTTTTGTCAGAATATAACATGCCTCCAACTCCCAAAAGAATCTTCATTCTGAACTGAAACTTCACAAGCCTGGCCTTTACTGCTTACACTCCTATCAGCCTTTTTGGTCTTCTGAGATCTTACCAGAATCATCCATCAAGCTATGATTGCCATATTCAAACATTCTCTAGTTTGCATCTCCAAACCTTTCCAAACTTCTCCCCACAAACCAGTTACAAAATCTTCTGAATTACATAATCAGGAACAGCAATAACTCCTCATCTCCAGTACAATGTCTCAGTATTAGCCAGTTTTCTTGTTGCTGGGACAAATACCCACAGACTTAAAGACTCATTTGGCTTATGGACTCAAAGGATTCAGTTCAGGATGGATGTTCCCAAAGCAGAAATACCACAGTGAAGGGGCAGAGCAGAGCAAAGCGTCTCAGATCATGGAAAGCAGAGCTTGGGAACAGCACCACAGAGGAGGAGGCCTGGGAGTAAATATAGTTTCCAAAGTCACATCTCTATAACCCTTCTAAACACAGCCCAAATTGTGCCTGAGTAATCTCCTAGGTGGCTCCTAATCCAGTCAAGTTGATTATGTAACTTAACGGTCAGAAGAAGCATGGTACAAAAATTTTTATCTTCTGAAAATTGCTTATCTACCCATGTACACTGGTAATTCCAGCATTCTGGGAGGATGAGGCAGGAAGACTACAAATTCAAGCCCACCCTGGCCAACTTAGTAACTGAGTCAAACCCTTCCTCAAAATAAAAATAAAAATAAAAACCAGTAGAGTACTAAGGATGTAGTTACATGAACCATGGCTCAATCCCTAGCAACCCCACACACAAAAAAGCTAACATACTGAGTTATCTTGCAGTCTATGTTGAATCATTTAATAAATCTGATCACCCTAAATCGTTTAAAGTACTGTGACTTCTTTTTGCCCTTTTAGCTCTACACTTATGTATTTGTCTTTTTAATTCTTCAGAAATATTCATATATCCATAAAATCTATTTCCAAGTATATACTACAGAGAAATAAAATGGTATTTTATTTCTCAAGGATAAATTCAGGATATTTGTTAAAATATCATTTAGAGTGGATAAGAACTAGAAAGAACCAGTTATCGACCAGTAAATGAGTAAATAAACTGAGAAATAGGCACACAATGAGGAAGAGCAATAAAAGAGAACAAAGTTATGCTGCACGGATGAATCTCAAAATCACTGTGCTCAGTGAAAGAATCCAGGCGTTAAATGTTTGTTTCCATTTTTATGAAATTCTCATAAAGGCAAGTAAATCTGTGGTGATAAAAAGCAGATCTGTGATTTTCAGAGGCTGAAAGAAAGGGAATGAGATGGATTGCAAGTGATACAAGCCAACAGTTGTGGGTGGATTTTCTTCTTTGTTATGATGGTTTGTGGTTACTAGTCATATGCACTTGTCAGAACTCATCAAATTGTGTGCTTATATTGATTCTTAATGTAATAAAGTTATAAAAAAATTTCAAGTACATAGATTCTAAACTTAAATCCTCCAGTTAAACCTGCATTCCTTATGAAGCACTCAAACAATTTTATGGCTCTTTTAAGGATGTCATACAAGGAACCCTCATCAGAGTATAAAGAAGAAACAGATTACATATAAACTGCTCACAACTATGTCACTGTAGACAGAACAGGGAAAGGAATAATTCTAACTATACCAGTATGATGTTATAGATCTTCTAGTCTTAATTTTTCTTCCCCTCGGTTTTTCCATCTAGAACCTAAAAGATTTGGGCTAAGCCAGTGCTCAGAGCGTTTGATGTTTGATTTAACCTCTAATCTAAACAAACTTTATTCAGTATACTCTAATGTTACTAAATCTGGATCATGTCACAATACCACAGCCTATTTTAAAAGCATTTGCTATAGCTTAGATCTTAAATGTAACCCCCGGGAGCTCAGGTATTGAGGGCTGGTCCCCAGCTGGCAGCACTATTGAGAGGTGGTGGAAAGCTTAAGACTTATTTGGAAGTAGATCACTGGCACAAGTCTTTGAAGAGTATGATTTGTCCTCAGCTCTTCCCTCCCTCTCTGCTTCCTGGTTGCCCTGAGTGGAAAGCTTTCCTCCACCGTGGCCTCCACCACAATGATTCTGCCTCACCACAGGCCTAAAAGCAACAGACCCAGCTAACCCTAGAAAAAACTCCTAACACTGGGAGCCAGAATAAAACTTTACTCCTTCAAGTTGTTTATGGCTGGTATTTTGTCCTGTAAATAAAAGCTACATAGTCAGCTAATTAAATATTATTGTTTGTTACTGGAAAAGGTAAAATGTTCTTCATAATTCAGGTGATTATTATCTAAAAATAGTTTAAATAACTGGTGGAGAATTCTGGTTTAGAATTTCATTTCTTTTTACCTTTTCCTCCTCACATTCGCAGCAGGTTCTGCCACAGGCACGATTCCTGCCACAGTGACATCTTTCTCTGACTATGTCTCACGACCAGAAGATCACACCAGCATCCTTCACTTTGACAAGCATGAAACTGAAAAGACCTGCCGGGTCCTCATCATTGACGATTCCTTTTATGAGGAGGAGGAATCTTTTCATGTTTCCCTGAGCCTACCAGCAGGAGGGCGGCTGGGACCCAAATTCCCCACCACCAAGGTGATCATCCTGGCTGATCATGAGGATGGTATGTTCACTCCCTGCTTCCTCACACTTGGTAATGGGGCCTTTCACTCATACATTCTTTCTCCAGCAGTTGAGAAGCAAGTCCAGCTCTACTGTCTTTTAAGAAATATTTAATACTCTTCTTTCTCCAAATATGTAAGTAGCTTTTCAAAAACAAAGATATCACCCAGAGCAAGGTCAAAACAGAAACGTGAAAAGGTTAAGTGTTTACATTATGACTGTAAGGCACAGTCAGTAAGGTGCCCACTCTGAACTCACACACATGATCATACTGACTTCCAGAATGCTTGTGCTGCGGGCATGTACTATCTCTGCTATGGACATCTTTTTAGTTAGAACCTGTCTTCTTCTGATGTGTCCTCATATGTGATTACATTGTGGTATTTATATCTTTTCAACCCACTTAGCATAATATTTGAGGGTTTTCTTAGTGTCTTCTGGGGGCTTGATCTTCAACAGCACACAGAAAAGAGAGAATGAACCATAGTAATATTGATGATTCAAAGACAAACCAGGCATTGACATATAGTGAAACCAGCTAACAGCAACAACTGTGCTGCTACTGGCAATAGCAAAGAAATCAGCAATAGTAATACAGTTAAAAAAAAAAACAAACAAACCCTAGAAATTGACGTAATAACTAATAAAAGTACAACCCTTAAAAATAGAAAAATTATCTGTAATAATAGCATAAACAAATGAATCTACCACCCCTAATAAAGGAAAGAATATCTGCAATAATAATATAGCCACAAAGACAACTAAATATTAATATAAAGTAAATGTTTACTAAATGCAGCAACTGTATCACAATTAACAATAGAAAAGAATTCAGTAACAGCAGTGTCAACTAAATATCTGAAAATTAACAAAGCTTAATAATGATAATTGTTACTGAGGGGCTGTGAAAGGGAAAAATGAAAGAAGTAAAATTTGAAAAAGGAAAAAGAAGGTGGGAAGTAAGAGAGAATAGTGAGACAAATAATCTAATTAAAAATAAAAGAAAGTTACTAGGATTAGGTAATAGGAACAGGAAAGAAAAAACTGAAAAAGAAAAATAAAAAAAACAAGAATAAAGCAAAAGAGCGAAATAGAGGACAAAAACAAAGGAAAAGAGAAATGAGTCCAAAAAGAATCTCTCCACGTGTGTGTGTGTGTGTGTGTGTGTGTGTGTGTGTGTGTGTGTGGTTTTCTTCTAAGGCCTGCAGTGTTAAAATCACCAGATACAGGGGAAAGATGGTGTGTTGTGTCTTGTGCCTATTTTGTTTTCATACCACTATTTTTGTGTGTTTGCTGAGTCCTGTCCTTCTTTTCCTGTTGGGCAGGGTTGATCAATGGTATAGTTGCTCCTTAAGGCTGTGTTCAGTCTAGTGGCTCTTTATGTTTATACCCCTCTTTGCGGACTAAGTCACTGCTATCTCCACAGAGCAGTGGGCTTGTGAGGTGTCCTCCTTGCTTCAGAGAAGTCCTTCTATACATAAATGTGGCAACCATCCCAGCCAAGGCGTATCCCTGATCATGTTGGCTGATGCGGAAAGCAGAGAAACCACCGTCCTCTGAGCTGGAATGAGGGGGAGGGACAAGCAGTCTGCTAGACTTAATGCCAGCTATTTCAGAGCCAGCCTCTCAGAAAATCATATGCAACCTACTTGGGTTCTCATTCCAGAGAATGCAATCACCTTGTCCTTCTCAGCCTGAGCTCACAACTACTTAAATTTCTCACAGTGATCTATGACTAGCCTGCACCCTCTTTGTGACACTCATGTCTCTCTCCTGCCAAGTCACTGTGGAGGGTGACCCCAGAACCCTGAAGTATAGCTGATACCTGATTCCTTGAAAGCTCAGTTAGTCCATGTTCAAAGTAGCTCATGATAAATCTTATCCAAATATGCATTTCTTTTCCAATTCTAGCATGATACGCAGGAGTCTCTTTCAGAGTAAAGTCCCATATAGTATTTTCAGTTTCCAGTAACCAGGAGCTTTCCTTGGAGTTAGGACTGCCAGTGCATTGTTTGTCCGTGGGACTACTAAGTGATCTCCAGGTTTACTTTATATTTGTGGAGACAGATGCTCCTCTGAGGAGCCAGGGCTGGTGTTTTAGATGCTTCATTCTTTCCTCTGCATTGTCTTCAGTTTCTCAATGATTTCCAGTTTCCCTGTTGAATCTTTCTTAATTCCTAGAGTTCTTTGTCCTTTCCTCTTTGCTAAGTTGTTGTTTTCCAGGTGTCATGATTCAGGGCCTTGGAACGGTTGTGATTTCCTGCCAGTTTTTACTCTGCCATCTTCCAAAAGACAACATGCTATTTAATAAGTGAACAAACATCTGAAATAAAAGAGACTGGTGTGTTTTGCCAGTTTGCTCATTTAGAAGTAAAAAATATCCACAATAACAAGAACATGAGACAGAAATAACCCACCCAAGAAAACATTCTCTGGTGCTTGACTTAGACAACTCAGAGCTACATTAAATTTTGGGTTTGCTTATGAAGTAGTAAGTCAATGAAATTATAAAACAATAAAGAGACCCTTTTTGCTTACTTATGAAGTAGCAAATTATCTACTATTGTAAACCAAGTATTGTAATCCCTTTCTAATCTTCCTCAAAATTTGGAAAGTTATATTTGTAATCCCATTGAGATGTTGTTGGAATCCTGGCAAGTTAATTCCAAACTATCACCTCCAGTACAACTCACAGTGAGAGTAAAGACACTAAGACATATTCAAAGTTAAGGGCAGTCAAAGGATCCTAAGCCCCATCTCAGTGAGGATACGCAGACAAACGTCTTGATCCAAGGCCTCTCCCAGAATTTATTATCTTGTGAAGCAGGATGTAGCTCAGGGATGAGTGACAGTGAGAATGGGGAGTAACTCAAGCTGGCTGGCCAGGCGAGGAGAAAAGCTTCTTTGCAAAGAGATAAGCAGAAAGACCAGTCTGCATAACTTGATTGGGCTAACATATGAAAGAGTTTAGGTGGCTGTTACTTCAGTTTCTGATATACAAACTTTTCTACCCTGGGGACTCATAGCCTCTTTCTTTGAGGCTCATACCCAGTTGACATTCCTGGAGCTGAGTAGCTCTGCCATCCCATTGTGCTCGAATCTTTTATGGAGAGCACTATGCTGGGAAACAGGAGACTGTCAGACTGACTTTAAAGACTACATATCAGTCCTTCAGCTGGCCTTATTTGCATTGCTTAGAGCTAATTGAAGAGAGAAGGATATACTGAAGCCAGCTCTGTATATTTCAGTATATGGAAAGAAGATGATTTAACTAATGTTGCACCAATTGTTCTGAATTCAAGGAGGGATGCCCATGTAGTCTTCTACAATCTACCTCTTAATATTTGGAGTTAAATGATAAGAAACTTAAATAACAGGACTTTACTGACTACACCTAGAAAGAAAAGAACAGAGAACACAAGTGGCTATGGTCATTGCTTTGTCATTGTACATATCTTGGTAAAATATTTTGGCTATGTTTGTCACTTTCTTTGATTTTGTAGTTTGTATTTCAAATTATTAAGTCACATCTGTAAGCCATGGAGGCCACTGAGTCAATAGAGTGATACTACAATAATCAAATTCTAAGATTTAACCTCCTATAGGGATATATCTGATAGTGAACTTTCTGGATCCTTTGATAGTTCCATTTTTAATTTTTCAAAAAATCTTCAGACTATTTACCATAATGACTATACTAATTTACATTCCTCATTGGACATGGCAGTACACATATATAATCCCAGCATTCTGCAAGGCTGAGATAGGAAGGTAATAAATTCCAGTCCAGCCTGGGCAATTTAACAACTTAGTGAGAATCTTTAAAAGGGTCCTGTGTTCACTATCCAGGACCACACAAAAACATATAATTTACATTCCCACCATGAGTGTATAAGAGTTCACATTATAATGCGTATTAAAATATAATTAGGCAGAATTAGAGATTATCTCCTTCAGCACAGTAGTGTAACCATCATCTACAACAATTTATGATGTATTTCAAAATAACTACAAAGGAGTACAGAGGTCACCGACCCATAGAAATGATAAATATTTGAAGACAAAAAAATAACTGATCAGCCTGACTTGATTACTACACAGCACATACATATATTATCGTAATCTGTCTCATAAGTGTGTACAGGTATGACATGTCAATTAAATGTTTAAAATTCTAAAGTCAAAAGCAAAAATACCTGTATTGAATTTTGTTAATACTGAAGCATAACATGATCAAGAAAACCATCACATGAACAGCAAAGTTAGTAAATTGAACTAAATTGTGTTATCTAGTGAAATGCCAACGTTTACAACAAATCAAACAACTTGCTGAGGGATGACTGTACCAGGATGAGTGTAAAACCAGCTACATCAAAACCAAGGGGAGAAGGGACAGGGATATTGCTCAGAAGCACAGAACTTTCTTAGCATGAGGTCCTGAGTTCAATTTCTGCTACAAAAAAAAATTAAGAAGAGAATTCAAGATACCCACTTCCTTCCAGTGAAGAGAACAGCCAAGCCCCTGCTTCTCTCTGCAGAGGGGAGGGAGGAAAAGGACCATACATCCAATGATCTGATTTTTCTAGGGTCTGTTTGATGTATTGGTTTCTGTCTCACCTGTCTCTGAGCATTGACAGCCTAGTATACTATAGACACCCAAGAACTACTGAGAACAAAGACTGGGGTTTGTATTAGGAAGCTGACTCGTGCTATAAACTCAAACTCCCACCTCCCCTTTCAAGATGAGTGGAAAGGAAGCAACAATTCTCAGTGTCTACCTGGGCAGCAAAGGAAAGACCTAACCGTACATCAATGTTCCTGTTTCTGCTGGGGCATCCCGAGGCACGGGCACCTATCTACCTGCCTGAAAACACTGATGTGACCTGGCTACTCTTGATATTAGGAAGGAGTACAATAGGCTGAATGTTTGTGCTCCCCAAAAGTTGTATGTCAAAACCTCCAAACTGATGCCCTTAGGAGGTAGAGTCTTTGAAAGGTGACTAGATAACGATGGCAAATTTTTCATGACTAGAAGATTAGTACCCTTACAAAATGAATCCCAGAGAGGCCCCACACCCCTCGCACCACATGAGGCCGTGGTAGGAAAGTGCTAGCTCTTAACTACATCCTGACTCTGTCAGCACCCGGATCTTAGACTTCTGAGCCCCCAGAACTTGAGAAATAAATGTCTCTTTAAAGATCCCCAGTTTATGCTATTTTATTATAACAATCCAGATAAACTAAGATAGCCAGTAAGCACAAAATGACTATCCAAATGAGTGGAATAGTTTGAGAAGGCCCTAAAACCAGAGGAACAAAAAGAAGGGGGAAAACAATGCTTACAGAAGTCATGAACACAGCCCAGCTCTTCTTGCTGGATATGCTTGCAGCGTTTGATATTGTAACTACCCGTTCCTCTCACAGTTCTATACTCTCTTGGTTTCCCTGATTCTACTTCCCCTGTCAAGGTCTTCAGTTATTTTTGGTTTGGTTGTTTGTCGACATATTGGCTTGTGTTGGGGAGGGTCCTTTCTCCCTACCTTTCTCCCTAAGACTGATGCTCCCCATTACATTTCTTTGTATTTATTTACATTGGATGATCATAACTCCTAAAGTGGGATTTACCCCCAACTCTTTGTGCTCGGGTCTTTCCAAATCATATTTCTAGACCTGACCTGTTTCTTCAACTTTAGATTCATACATAAAAGGGTTTCTGAATATATCTAGTTGGATGCCCCAGAGGAAATCAACTTAACATACTTATAACCAGATTCACCATCTTGCCTTCACTTATTCTCCCTCAAGACTGTTTCTCCTTCTTTATTCCCAACTAAATTAATGACATTGCCTACTATTCACATGCCTCATATTTCACTTTAGAAACTTGCAGGGCATCCTAACAACCACCTATATCCAATCAGCAGGTGTTGTTCAGGGCATTTCTGATTCATCTCTCCTACTCCATCCTGCTTAGTTCACTTGCAACGTGGTGTCTCTTTTATATCTTTGTAGCAGTTTCCAAATTGGTAGCTTTGAGCCTTCCTACATTGACCCACAACTGACGTTGGACTGATATACAACACCGTACCAACAATAGCAAAACATTCTTTCACTGCTTAATATTGATCCAAATTTTGTATTAGTATCTGAAAAGCCAAAAAGTCACATTGAACCTGAGATGAATTCAACTTGCAACTGTATCTGGCTTTTATCTTCTTCTCCAAATTCTTTCCAAACATTCCCCTATCCTCACCTCACACATTGCAAATAAACTCCCATCCTCCTCCTCAAATACTGCTCTTCTTTCATGCTTATGTGCCTTTTTCAGACTAAGTGATCTGCTTGGAACATGTTTCCCACCTCTCTCATTTTTAATTCTCATTCATATCACAAGATTCGGCACAGCCTCATTTTCTCCAAGATTGCTTCCTTTGAGGCTTGAGTTGGTTCCTTCTTTGCCACACATCCAGCATTTAGGTGACTAAAATTGGTGTGACTGCCTCATACCAAAAGTATTTCAATGGCAAGGATACATCTCGTTACATCTTCAGGGGCTTCCTTGTGTTTCCGACACACAGAGGTGCTCAGTAGATGTTTGTTGAATTGACTTCACCAGGTATTAAGTAATCAATATGGACTTGTAAGCATTATCTTTATTTTCTATGAAGTCAGATCTGTTTAAATCAACAGCTCTAAAATTTTCCAAACTATTATTTATTTTCATGAAACAACTGAAAAAAGACTTTGGTATTGTTCATCTTCCAATATGCTGTTCTGGGTGGTTTGTCAAATGTACCAAGTGCTCTGCCACCTCATCTGCAAGACTTTGCATTAAATTTCTGTAAATATATACACTCATTTCAAATGGTGATCATGTCTCTTGAGAGGGTCACTGACATCTTGCCATATTTCTTTTCCTAGTTTCCATTTAAAGGACATCCTCTTTTCATGGAGATAAAACATATCTCTAGCTGGAGAATCTATTTAATGGATGATGTGACCAAAATATCACTCTTGTAATTGCTTTCTTTAAGCATCTTTGCTAGTATCACAGGTTTTCAGACAGGGCAGATAAGGAGTACTTGAAGATCCCTTGGGCCACATAAGGGACTTCTGCTACTGAGACATATACCTTCATGTGTAATACATGAAAAATCCCAAATAGTTTCATGATGCTTTTTGTGTAAGTAATACTATTATCCTCTTACATAGTATACTTTATTCACAGATGCTTGAATATTTGTATTTTTCCTTTGAACAGTTATATAACATTCAATTTTTAATCTTTCTTACTTTTTTCCCCTTCCCAAAATCCTACAGGATAATTTATAGCAGATTATTTGTCCAAGCTTTAAAAAAAAACTGTAATAAATTCAAACTACCCATTCAGTAAACTTGAGTTCTTAGACTACACTGGCCATTATGTCCCCAAGGATGCAAAGATGCAATCAGTATATGGAATATGACCCTTGATCTTGGGAAATTCATAAGACTCTCAGACAAACACAGAACAGCAGGATACAATGGTAGCACAACATTTTACATCTTTCCAGAGAGGTAATGAAAAATCAAGAGGTAACCAGGTAAGCTGAAGAAGGATTTTGAGTTTGAGGAGGAGCCTAGGCAACTTAGCAAGACTCTGGGTATAAGAAATCTGTGAAGTCATGTGTGTCACATGCAAAAAATAGTAAGTAAATCTTGTATCTCAAGGACATAATGGACTACAGTCTGGCAACTGCCTAAAAAATCTCAATGTGGGAGACAAGCTAGCTGGTTGCTTTCACAGATGAGCAAATGAAAGGAACTGCATTGGGGTTAATCAGTATTCATGGAGTTTATCAAAGCAAAACATGCAGAAGCACTATAAGGGACCACTTGCAAGCCCTCCATGCAGGAGACAGCCAGCCTGAGCTTGTTGTACTTCTTGTCCCCAAGCGCCATCTAGAGGGATGAGGTGTTGCGAAATGCTAATGGTTGAAGGATTAAGGGACAGAACACAATAGTAATGCAGTTTTCCTCAGGAAACTGCAGAAAGGCAAGTCCCTAACATAAGAGCGACACATCTGTAAAGAACCTACATGAGAAACAGTTCGTTTTTCTCGCATTTCCCACTGCCTGAGAACACTGATCACCAGGATGTTACTCATCAAGAAAGAACTTTCTTGGTGGGGCAGGGTTCATGCCTGTAATCTCAGCAATCTGGGGATTGAGACAAGCGGATTACCACGGGTTTGAGGCCTGCCCAGTCTGTACAGTGAGTTCCAGTTCAAGGCCAACCTGAGCTCTAAAAATAAATCGTGCTCTTCCTGCCTCTTCCTTCCCAGCGGTGGAGACAACAGGAGATGGAGTGGCAGTTCCTGGAAGGAAGGGGGCCAGTGACCAGGCATGTTTTTGTGGGTGCAGGCTTTCCACCTGCCATATGCCTAAGGTGACCAAATGGCAGAACTGCACAAAATGTTAGAGAAACATGGATAAAAAATGATAAATTTCCCAAGAAAATTAAATGTGGCTTCATAGAATAGGTAACTATCAAAAAGAGTAGGCATTGGCTACGTAGGTGCATTCCAGTTCAGAGGACACCACCAGCAAAGGTGGAGGCTCCCAGCTGGGTGTGGTGGCACACAGCTGTAATCTCAGTGACCAGGGAGGCTGAGGCAGAAGCATCACAGGTTGAAGAGCAGCCTGGGCAACTTAGAGAGAAACTGTCTCAAAATAAAATTTAAAATCAAAAGAGGGCCGAGGTGTAATTCAGTGACAGTGTTTGCCTATCATGCAAAAGGCCCCAGGTTCAACCCCAAGCATTACACAAAAAGAAAAAGAAAAAGCCCATAAACACAGGCTGTGTTGGGCGCATAGTGAGCTGTTAGGTTTAACTGGGGAACAGGGCACAGCATGGGGTATGGACCCTGACAATTTCAGGGAGTAGAGAGGGGACCCAACTCAGATTATAAAAGGTTTTGGGTGCTATGATGAAACTTTTAGTAAAACTTTCCTCAGCATTTACAAGACCTGCAAAAATACATACTGACCAAATAGGTACTTGATACATACCAGTATGATGTCTACATGTGTTTGTCTGCCCACTCTTTACATTCTCACTGTCAAATATTCCATCTTCCTAGAAAATGTTCTTTGCCGAAAGCCTGGTAGCTGTCTTGGCCTCCTCCATCTTCTTTCTAGCCCAGCTACTTCCCTGCCTCTGAGCAGGGCATGTCTGGCATTTCAGCTATCAGAATCCCACATCCCAGGGATATGAATCCGACCCTGAGGTCAGCAAATGCCATGAGAAAAGGCACAACACAGAAAAGGCTCCCTGACTTCCCCACCATCCTTTCCAAATAGTAGCTAACTTGCCTGAGTTACAGGTGGCAAATTTCCTCTTATTTGCTTGACGGAAAGTACTTAAAAGAAAGAAAAAAGGACACAGTTCTAACTGTCCATTTAGGAGCTGGGGAATACAAGCTCAATAGGACATGCTTCCCTGGTAAGTGCAAGGTCCTTGATTCCTGGTATCCCCAAGATGCACACACACACAAAAAAAATACCAGCTATGCGTCTTTTTTAAATATCTGAGCACTTCCTGGAGTCAAACTCATGCCGTGTTACTGTTGGACATGACTTTTTAGGTATTTTGAGAGGTTTTTTTGTTTGCTTTGTTTTTGTTACATTTTGCTGGGTTTGGTTGGTTTGGTTTAGCTTTTTTTGGCCCTGAACTTCACAGTGAATGGGACCTGTGAGATCTGTCTCCGGTTTGACAATTGTGAAAAATACCCATTCGCACAAAGCTGGATACAATATGCCTGAGGAGGCTGAAGCATTCTGAGTCCACCCCTTCCTGCCTCCCTAGAGCCTACTCTGCACTTCAGAGACATGGAGTATCACGTTGAGGAAAGCGTTGGCTACCTGGAGGTGTATGTCTGGAGAAGAGGCGCTGACCTTTCCCAAGCATCATCCGTTACTGTGCGCTCCAGAAAGGCAGAACAGACTCCAGCAGAAGGTGAGGGGCATGGAAAATCATCTTCTCAAGACACATGTCTTGGGTCTAGACTGCCCAGTGCAAGCATGCCTAGTCTCTGCAGGCTCTGGTTTAAAGTTTCTCTACCTGAGCACACAGATGCTTTGAATATCATACTAGTCAGCTTTTCCATTGCTGGAATAAAAATACCTGGCTCCTCCACCTTTACAGGAGGAGAGGATTAGCTTGGCTCGCATTTCAGAGGTCTCAGTCCACGGTCCACAGGCTCCAAGGCAGCAACGTCATGGCAGAAAGGTACAGTGGAGCCAAGCCGCTTAGTTCATGGCAGCTGGGATATAAAGCAGACAGGAAAAGCCAGACAGGAAGGGAGTCAGGGATCAGATACAGTCTCCGAAGCCACCTTTCCATGACCCACCCAGACACACTCAGAAGTGTCATGCAGGCATCTCTCAAGCCAATCAAGTTGGCAATCAAGATCAACAGTGATACATACCCAACAGCGCTTGCTGTACATAGAATATTCAGGCAGCAGCCTTTATGATTCATTCATGACCCTCTTGATAGTCTTAGGCTCAGATTAATTTCCCAATGTTCAGGATATTTGCAGGTACTGTTGCTGCTCATAAACAATAAGTCAAATGAAAGAGTTCCACAATGGGCAAATCCAACTCCTAGAGAAATCTGGTCATTTGTTAGACTTGTAAAGGGGACGGAGGCCTTCACTTCTGACTCCTGGGCATTTTCTCTGCCTTTCAGCATCACATCCTCCTGTCCCAGTCATCTTTGTGTTTGCTGATACAGTAAGGAAGGCCTAGTGGCCCGTGAGGCTGATGGTTCTAACTACTGCTTCTTAGGTACCATAGCTCTTCACCGTTCTATTTTTACAACAAAAATAGAAACGGTGGGACCCCACAGGAAGAGAGAGACCTCTCCGCCTACATTAAGCTTACATTTCCTCATTTCCTGCTTGGTCTTTTTGGTGTCCCGAAATGGACAGCCAGCGTAGCTCAGGTCCAAAACTCAGAGGGATATTTTAAGATAAAAGCAAAATTCCAGGAAATAGAACCTAGTAATCTAAAACTGTGCACTGGCTGATGTGGTATAAGGAGAATCAGGTGCATATTTATCTATGAAAATGTGACTCCAGTTTCATTACATACCCAGAAACAGTTACAGGAAATAAAAACAGATATTTTGTTCACACACACAAGAACTGACACATTATAATGTTTCAGTGAACATACCACAGGATATTGTACATGAAACCAGTAATAATTCTTACTGGCTTTTGTTTTCTTTTTGTTAATTTTCAAGGAGGGTCATTTGTTATCCTATCATGTATCCATGGACACCAAAAGTGAACAGATCAATTGGTTCTTTGGAACTTTTGTTTGTAGTTGGAAAGAGAAATTTAAATTCATTTTGATAGCCTATTTGCATAAAAATGATGACAATATGCCCACTCTCAGGTAGGGATGGACAAATAGAAATATTATCCACACTTGGGGCATTGAGTCACTGATTTAATTAGGCATGATGAAGAGATAAGAATTTAGATTTGATACCCTGTAAAATCTAATAAAGATCTAACATTTGCTTAGGCTACTTAATAAACAATAATTTTGTGTATATATTTATAATTTATTATAATTTGCTACAGTAATAATCATAACTTCTAGGTTCTCAGTGCTCATCATTTGCCATAAACTGTACTGGCAACATGACTAGATTATCTATAATCTTCATAATGACCTAGTACTATAGCTAAAATTAATCCCATTTTACAGTTGAAGAAACAGAGACTCAATAAAGTCATTTGTACAAATGAGAAAAGGATCAAGATTTGAGCCAAAGTGTATTAAATACAAAACTGTCTTTCCATTACTCTCTGCTTGAGCAATTTTTACTATAACCTCCTTTGGAATCTTGGTGGAAGTAACAGGAAAGGGATGGACCTGGCCTGAAAAGGATGGCTATAGACACAGAATGAGTGACAACATAGCTTTTGCTAGAATAAGGGAATTCCCCCCTTTCTGGTGTTTGAGACCACAAAATACAAATGATTCTGAGAGTTCTGAGTACAAAAGAGAATGCTGCAGAGTTAAGATCGCCCAATTCCTTCTGGAAAAGTAATGTTACAACAGTGTATCGTCATCTCACTAGTGTGTTTTCACTCCCTGCTAGCTGGAAGAGATTACATTGGCATCAGCAGAAAACTGGACTTTGCCCCAGGTGTGCACATGCCGACGGTCCAAGTGATCATCCTTGAAGACCAGGAACAGCCCATCCTGGAGGGCCCGGAGAGGTTTGAATTACTTCTCCAGATGCCTGTAGGTGCAGTGCTTGGAGAACCAAGGAGAACCACTGTTATCATCCACGATACCACCACTGACTGAAAGGAGAGTGCTTCTAGTTCCTTGGAGTGAGAGAACTAAGAGAGAAACAAGCAACCAAAATGTGTCTCTTAACTCTACTATTTCTAGAGCTCAGTAACTCTGGGAAGGCAATGAAAGTGCATTCATTGTCTTTGGTGTGATATTCTGGTGATATGTGCAAATGTCATTTATGTAACTGCATGGATTTAGAAATATATACATATACAATGAAAGGATTGAGCCTGTAAAAAGTGGAACCATATTCTTGTTATCCTTTTTTACTTTCTTTTACTTTGTTTCTAAGGCCAGTGAAACCCACTGTCATTAATTAAATCTATAGCTGAAAACAAAAGTGATGCTTACTCTTCACTGATTGATGGGAGACATAAAGCTTCTTACACACAAACATGAGCACACGCACAGAGGTCAATTCTGTTTTGGTTTTTGGGTCATTTAATGAGACTGCCCTTATTGAAATGTACAGAAAGGTGCAAGCTCTATTTTGCCAATTATTCAATTTCCCTCCACAAGCTTTTTCCCCCTTCTTTAGTTTTTTCACCCTTTGGGAAAAAGCATAACAAACTGTAAAGTGATAAAACACAAATAGCAAAAATGAGAAACAAAAGTCGAAGATTTGCATAGTTTCCAAAGTGCCCAGTTGGTTCTTAACTAGCTTTTAATACACAATATTTATACCAATTTGTATCACGTAAATATTACTAATGTAACATAAATGAAGGCTCACAAATTATAAAACACATCTTTGTGCTCCCATCACCCTTCAGTTATTTCTTATGCACACCTTTTTAAAATTTGTATTTCAGTCCTGACTTAACATTTTCAAGCCAACATGAGAGTTAAAGGAACCCATTTCAAAAATGTTTGCCCTTCGCAGCTTGAGACCATTCTCATAAGTGAAATAAATCAATCTCGCATGTGTGAATACCGAATAGTTTCCCTAATGTAATGATTCAAATATATAAAAGTATGTGGTAATCATGATTCCCCATTATGTGGCCTTGAAGCCTTATAAAATTTTCACTTATTAATTGAAATGGCTTTATTCTGGGCTGTTTGATATGGAAATATTTGAAGCTATAGTATATGAAGTTATATTCAAATATTTCAAGGAAAAAGACAGACACTATGGTAACTACTATTAAGTTGGGTTATTTGGTGGTGGAGCACTAGGTTGCTGAAACAGTCATGCTTTGACCTGTATTGTTATGCTGTTATGTCCTCTTTTATCTCAATCTCTCCTTTATTCATTAAAAAAATTATTTAGCTATTTATTATGATTTTTTAATTAAGGGAAAAAATTTTTTAAAATTAGCAGGATATATTATAGTAACTTTTTTGATTTCCTATTAACTTGATTTGAAGTTCTGTAATACTCCCACTATCTTGTTTTGACTGATTAGACTCTGTTCCGTTCTGTATGATAGCATGAAGTTTGAGGGTATAGGCAACTACTTTGAAGGCAATAAGATTCACCATGATGCCCATTCTGGTTTGACTATTATCTCCTTTGGAAGTCCTGTAATGTTTACAATGTTTAGGTTTTATTGGTCTTGTTCTCTACTGTTTTGTTCAACTTTATAATACCTAATGAGATAGACAATTCTTTTTAAGGAAGCAAGAGGCATTATGGTAACCATTGTTGACAACCTTGTACTCTGTTCTTACATCATGTGCTATGTCTATCCTTGGTTTTAACTGACAGCTTTGTTTTGCCATATTTGACTTTATTCTCTTCCAAAAAAAAAGTAATAAGAACTAAGGAGTAATAAAACCCAAAATGTGTAAATTTTGTTGTAAAGAAGAGAGGGAAAAAAAAGTGCTCTGAAGAATACAACTGCAAGTGTGTTTAGGGGTGTTAAATAGATGACCATATTAATGTTTTTGGTTGGATCATTGAACACAACTGTTTACAGTCTCACTGTTTGAATGTCCACTTTGTATGCTTTGATACTGTGACTTGAGCAACTATCTCTAAGATGATAATGTGTAATCTATTAACTGGTGATTTCTTACTGGGTTTTTGTTTTTTGTTTTTTTTTTTTTTTTTTTTTTTTTTGTAGTTCTGTATTACTTATACCCTTACACTGCTTTGTTTTGTTTTGTTTTTTCTCTTTTTCCTTTTAAATAAAATTTTTTTAAAAAAAGTTTGCCCTTAAAAAAAAAAATGTTTGCCCAAAAATACTGAGATGGGAAAAGAAGACCCCTGACTGGGAGGTAATCTGCACGGTTAGGTTGGGAGGTCCCCATCTCCCTCCAGCCAGTGCTTTGCTGCACTGCTAGATTTCAGTTTTCACAACAAGAGAAAAGATTCTTCTAAGCTGCCTCATAACACATAACCTCCCTTATTGCTCTGTGAAATGAGAAACTTGGGCTCAACTTCTAAGATCCCTTCCAGTTCTGATTCCTGCATGAGGCCTTATCCACATACTCTCTTTCCAGTGCGCCCTATGACCAGGGTCAAAACACATCTCAATTACCTTCAGTGAATGTTTGTTTCATCTTTTTAAACAGGTTACAAAAGTTGAGATACTACAAAAACATTTGAAAAGAGTATACATGAGTCAGGATAACTCCCAGCTATACCAAACATGCCTCCTACACACCTAGTCAGACTGTCATGAGGCTCCCAAGTGCCGTGTGCCCTGAGGACTGTCACACAATGAGCCCCATGGGAGAAGCCACAGAGGATTCTGTTTTGCATCTGGTGATCCCACTGTCAGTGTTTTTTAGCAAACCACTCTCTTTCTCTCACAGTGTATTTTTGCTAGAGCCGACAGTTAGATGAACAAGGTATTTAGACACATATCTTGTTTTTTGGGAACATTACAAACAGTGCTTTCTATTCATTCACTCTGTTCCATCCCTGCTTTCTTCCTAGTAATACATGCTAAAGATGAAAAATGAATGTTTCTAGGCTTCTAGCATAAGACCTAGTGTATTCTAAACATAGCCTTTAGTGTATTCTATAGTTGCATAATGAAGCTGGCCCAATGGTCTGAAGGAGTAATTCCAAGAATGAAATTCCATACTTTGGAAAGTTGGGTTCACTTCTCATTCCTTACATACGCTTCCTTTTTGCTAACACTTTTATAGAAAATTAAAAATATTAATGCTTTAACTTTCTACATGAGTTGGAAAACAACAGACATGTACAAGATGTCCCAAGATTTTGTTGCTACTGAGCGAGCTCTAAAATGGAAAGATGTTGTACATTTTATTCCAGTCCCCAGGGAGTGATATAAGGAGTCCACTTTCAGGGTTAATGACAATGACCAGGAATTAATAGGAGTCGTTTACCTGAGCAGAGATACCAGCTGGGTTCATCGGCACACTGTTCTGCTCAAATTCCACTCACAATGATGAACTACGAGACACCCCGAATTCTGATGACTCCCCAGCTGGCTGCCAGTTCAGGCTTCTAAAGCTTGTTTGACACCAAAGCACCAGAATGTTGCTACTTCTAATCTTATTTATAATAATGATCACAGGAATCTAAATGCCCAGCTTTCAGGAAATATATTATCCCTTAATAAAACAGTATGAATTCTAGATTGTCAATGATCAGGTAAGCTATCATAGTCCTAAAAGCAAGTGCTTAGAAAAGCTAACACATTTCCATTAAGAGTAATTAGATTATGGGCCATTTTCTTCCAAATTTACTCTGGATTTATGTTGGTAAATACATGTGCTCAATGGCACACAATTGCAATTTGCCCAAGTAAGGAAATTAGGCTATAAGGACATCACTACTCTATTATCACAGCTGCCACAGAAAGTCATCGGGATTGTTAATCTCTACTTTAGAAAAACTGAACAGTGTAACGCTATCACCAAGGCATATACACTAGAAGAAAAAAAGTAAGCAGAATTTAGAAGCCAGGTGTCAGGAGGTGTGATTCTAAGTATGAGATGGAGACAAAGGAAAAACAGAGAATCTATAGGCACAGTGGGCTAAATAGTGGCTCCCAAAGACTTCAAGTCTGGAAATCTGTGAATTTTGCCATATAGGAGATAAAAGCATTTTGTAAACGTGACTAAGACTCTGGAGATGGGAAGCTGAGGATTCTAGCTGAGCTCTAATCACAAGTGTCCTTAAGAGGGAGTCTGATGGAGTTTCCACATAGCGGAAGGGGCTGTATGACCTTGACAGTAGAATTATAGTGATGGAACCACTCTAACATCTTCCTCCATTTGAAGCTTCTTCTAGCATTGGGTCTTCAACAACATCCAGGAGCCAGATGATAAGAAACTCGTCATTAGAGCTGTGTCACACCCAAGGAACAGGAAACAGTGGTCAGAGGAGATGAGTCCTTGGCCATGCAAGACAGTTTTGTGACATAATGCTGCAATGTGACATAATGTTGTACAGCGTTGTGTGACACAATCCAAATGACTGCAAATAATCCCGAGAGTCTTGAGTACAGATCATCTTTATCATTATAAAATCAGGGTGTGGGGTGCCAGGGGGAGGTCTGCTCCTTCTTTTCTGAGTCAGACTAGAAGCTCACAGTTGTCTCAGAATCTTCAGCAACAAGGAGTCTGAGAAGCCACTCAACTTCCAAGGCAGAAACATTCTTGGTTCATGTTCCAGGGACCTGTTACCCGCCCAAGCACTCTGCTGCAAGGGCAAGAGGAAGACATGGTACATCCTTGGATGCCTTCCTTGTCCATGGGAATGGTACGAACTCTCTCAGCAAACTACACATGGACCATCTCTGCAAAACAGAACATACCTGACAAATTAGGCATCTGAGGAGGAAGGATAAGGCCACCAAAACCTGCTAAAAGTCTTCAGTGTAAGGCTGTAGTCACTGCTCAAACTTACTAGCTGTAGAAACAATTTAATATCACCTCTTGGACAGCAAGTATACAGTGTCTAACAAATTCTAATATGGACCTATCCTTTATTCCAGAGACTGCATCTATGGAGCAAAGGAGACACAGGTTCAGAACAATAAATAAATTTCTACCATAATTAATGTGAAACACACAGGGTTTCTTGTTTTTGGCATTTTGATAATTAACCAACATCCAGCTTCTTTTTCTTATTTTAAAATTCTCAGGCCAGGTGTAGTGGTGCACATCTGTAATCCCAGCACTCAGGAGGCTGAGGCAGGAGGATCATAGCAAGTTCAAGGCCAGCCTGGGCTACAAAGTGAGTTTAAGACCAGTGTGAACTGCATAGCAAAGGTGACTCAAAAGGACAAGAAAAAAAGTCTCCAACTCTAAAGTAAAAATAGAATACTAGCTCATAAAGGGCCCCTGGATGTCCCAAATTTCTTGTATTATATTATTTTCACTGACGTGTCTCAGCAAAGTATAAATCCTAAAATTGAGGCCCTGCCCTATTCATCAATATTTCACACTTTCATTTTCCAACTTGTACCCTACATAAACTGTTCTCTTAAGAATACACACACAGGGCACACGGAGTGTTCAGTCTACAGCCAGTATCAACTATGCTGTAAAAGTCCTGAATGAAAAATCTTTTAATGTCTCAGATGATGTGACTTTTACACTGAATATTGTAATTCTGAGAAGCTGGGATTTTAATCTTACAATTTTGAGAGATGAAGTAATGAGAGAAGAACTGTAACTGAATTCTTTCAATTTATTTTCCAATAAAAGGGCTGCTACGCTTTCCAGTGAAATGTTTTCTTCTATGTATAATTAAAAACTACCACTAAGTCACCCAAACTTTATGTCTCTAAGGAGGTGCGATAAAGTTTGCT